GTGGGGCAAGGGGGGGCGATCTCCACGCCCGGGACACGGGCAGATGAGCAACCTGCACCCCACTCCCTCCCTCCCAGACACAGGACCCACACACAACCCCCACAGCGTGTGGACGACTGCGTGTTCAGAAACACCAAGCAGCGAGGCGAGGGTGAAGGGGTAAGGGGCTGTGTGGGGCAGAATCTTCATCCGGCTTATCTGTGACTACTCCATCTAGCCTGGGGGGTCGCAGGAGGGGGGGGCAGAAGGTAAGATATGGGTGAGGCCAGCTACAGGTCGGACACCCTCCCGTCGTCGGAATACTCCTCGGAGCGGTCGGCGTCCTCGTCGTCGTCCTCGGTCTGCATCGCCTCGCCAGCCGTGAACCTGAACACGGCGTCGGCCGGCGCCGAGGCGCCGGCGGCCGTCATCAGGTGCATGGCCCTTTACGTGCTGAGCATCGAGTATGCGAGCAAGGGCAGCTCTCCGCCCACCTAGAGCGCGCGAAGCGGGAGGTGCGTGAGGAAGAGCAGGTCCAGTGGTCCTGGTACGACTGCTGCCACGGCTGGGCCCCCTCGACCACGGCCTCAGCCTCTCCCCGCGGTCGGCGCCGGGACGGCAGGCAGGAGAAGCAGGCGAACACACGAAGGTGACAGAGACTCATCGCTGTCCGCTCATACCTTCATCGCGGCCGCCCTGTCCAGCGCTGCCGCGGTCGTTGCCTGTCTGTGGAGGCCGGCATCTCTGGTCGCAAGCCAGCGCGTGACTGTTTGGCCGCCGATCTGCCTTCGACACCCATGGTTGCGGTTTGAAACCACCGCTCTTTATACTCGTTTATTCACGAGGCGACCCCAGGGAACCGAGGCGACCCCAGGGAACCGTGGGGGTGCTGTGAATAAACAGCGAAGAAGACGCCCGGTTTGAATTACTGCTGTTTTAGGTATATTGTGATCTGCCCGTCGACGCCCCTTCGCCCCTTCCGTTCCCGCCTCGTTTGGCGCCATGGGCTGCTCGCTCTCGACGCCCACCCTGCCCTCCGGCGTACACCTCGCCGATGCCGTCGAGGCGCACTTTGGCGACAGTCCCTCCGGTCCGGAGCTCGCTGCGGCGCAGGAGCAGCTCGTGAGGAGCATCGAGCATATCAACGCGGCTGACCGCGACGGCGTGAGCCTCCTGGACGTGCAGCGCGGTGTCTTCAACCTGCTGCAGGCCGGCGCGTACCGCACCTTCAGAGTGGCGTACGCCGCCGACTACCACACCCACAAGCGCGACCACAGCTACCCGTACCTACTCTCCAACTTTGTCTCTTTTGCGGGCGCTGTGCTGGACCTCTACATGGCGCTCAAAGTGGTTGACGCGGCGCACCAGCCATCGGTGGACGCGCTCAAGGCGCTTCTCGGCTCGCTCGAGGCATCGATCCGCAAGCAAATCAAAAACTGGGGCCCCGAGGACGAGGCCGCCTTTGAGGCGAGGACAGCGGCGGTCGAGGAGGCTGCCCCTCCGCCTCTGCCACCGGCCGCGCCACCGCCGCCGGGCTTCCTCGCCCCGATCGCAGCCTCCGCGAGGCCGCTGTACAGCCGTGACGCCGCCGCCTTTGCGGAAGGCTTCGGGAGCGACTACTCTGGCGACTGGTCGCGTTACCTGAGCCGCTACAATCGCGTGCTACTCGACCCGTCGGACGACTGGGCCGCCAACGAGAGGCGGGGCGGCGCCATCGCGCCGGTCGCCTTCTGGTACGAGCGCTTCATGCCGCTGCTGCTCGAGGTTTGCTCGCTCGGCGTCGAGGGGTACGCGGCCACCGACGAGGACGCGGCGGCTCTCGACGGCTGGCTCGCCGAGATGAGGGCGGCGCGCAACTTTGACAAGTACGGAGCCGACGTGTTGGCCGGTTGGGGCAAGTGCTCCGCCTCGGTCAAGCTGAGCATCAAGCGAGCCTGGCGGCTGTCGAGGCACTACCTTCTCGGGCCCCAGAAGCAGCGCGAGCGCTCGAGCGAGTCGGGCGCGGACCACCGCGAGACGGGCGACCTGTCGCAGTACGTCGCCTTCCTGGACGTCTACCTCGGCCGCTCCTACGTCGAGAAGGTGGTATGGCTATGGCCTCCAAGCTCGGACCGGAGACATGTTCCATGACACGTCTTCGACTCCGGTCGTAGGCCGGGATGAGGCTCACCTTCCCCTACTGGGTGGGGCCGTCGACATGGACCTGGCACCACTTTCTTGGCGAGCGGGCGGCCGAGCTCGTCGCGGCCGGCGACGCGGCGGGCTCGGCGGCAATCGTGGACGGCTTCCACAGGTCCCTCGCCTGAGTGCGCTGCGCGTGCGTGCCCCCGCCCGATGCTGTATTTTTGCCCACAGGTACATGGGCCTCTTCGTGACGATGTACCCATGCCCGTACTGCCGTCACCACCTAAACGAGTACGTGGTCCGCAACAAGGAGAAGGACCTCTACCCGGTAGCCCCATATCCAGCCACTGCATAGCATCTGTGGACCACCGAGCCACTATGGGAGCAGCCCTGTGGCTCTACCGGCTTAGCCGAGGACCGAGGGGCCCCTTACTTACCCTCCCTCGCACCTACTCGCGCAGGTCGAGTACGTCTTGCTCGGCTGGACGCCGTCTGCCGCCGACGAGGAGGGCACCACCACGCCCTCGCTCAAGCTCGCCTACGTGACTGATGCCACGCGCCTGCGCCTCTTTGTGTGGAAGCTGCACAACGCCGTCAGTGGCTCGATCGAGCGCTCCGAGGAGTGGTACAAGGCGACGGACTCGATCAACACTTCGCGCTACTGGCCCAACGTGTACTCGACGCTCCACCGCGCGGGCGCGCACTCGGGCGCCGTCTCCGCCGCGCGGATCGCCGGCATCCTCGACGTGCTCGACTCGGCCGTCAAGCTCAGCCTGCTGCGGCCGTCCATCCTCGCGCTTCAGCCGGGGCAGGCGGCCGAACTGGCCGAGATCGCCGCGCCGCTCGTCGACGAGCTCGACCAGGCCCTCCTCGGCACGGGCTTCCTCGCGGAGGCTTACGGCTGGTCCGGCCGCGTCGACGACAAACCGCCCGACGTCGATTTTGCGGAGAAGCGCGGCGCTTTCATGCGCGACCAGCACTTCACGCTCGCGTGAGCCAGATCTTTCCAGTTTCCTCTTTGCCTCTTTGCTCTTTTCGCTTTCTCTCTCGTCCTGGAAATGCTACATCGGATGTACTACCTACAACATGTATACGGAACAAGTTTTGCTCCCTCCGCGACGAGTCTCGAGTCTGTGTCGACAAGAGAACAGACCGGGGCGGCTAGAGAGCGTCCATGGCCGTGTTTCCACCGATATTGTTCACGCGCCGGTGGATACCCCGCAGCCACATACTCGTCTGCGTAGAGAGAGATGGCGCGCTTGCGGCAATGCAGCAATGCATGCCGCCCCAATGCGCCCCCTCGCGCCGGGTGCCGCCCCCGGCCCCTTCCGGACAGTCCCGTTCGGAGCGCGGAACAAACCTATGCCGTCGTTGTGATGCAGTCGGCTCCACTCGAGGAGAGTGTGCACGTTCGCCACGAGCCCCTCGAGGGCTGCGGCCTGAACGAACCTGCATTCCGTCACCATTGCATCAGCTTCCTGTT